GTAACTAAGGTCTGATCAGCATAGTTGCGGTAGCATCCATAGGTGGGCCCTGTGAGTGTTGAATAAACACAAATGTGCTTCAGCAAGCGTCTGCAATAGGGATTGTCTATCGGCTCTCATAGACGGGGATACTTGAATACGAGTGGGCAGCTATGCATTAATACGTATTCTAACATCCCACAGGAATACTAGCATGTAATAATTTATTACGTACGAGAGACTTTCAGGAATACAACACACAAGACATCACCAACATTATACAATTTATACTTACGCACCATTTCTAGTTCAACGGGCACCATTTTCTTCAAGTCAGAGGCACATTGATGGGAATGAAAATGGCTCCCATCTATGTGAACATATTCATGGATGCCCTGAAATGAGATATGTTGAGTAATCTACTACCACAGATACATAAATGATATCTTCTTTATATGGACACATGATGAGAATAGTCACTACGAGCTTAAAAAAAAATATCTCATCAATTTCCACCACACCATCAAATTCACAATGGAATATTCCACCATTTCCATTCAATTTCTTCATTGTACTGGTACATCTAAATAATAAGCACATCTTCACTACACTATACACCAAACCCACAGATAATCATTGCTACCTAAATTTCAATAGCCATCACCCCACCAATCTAAAAAATATCAGTAACCTACAACCAATGTTTACTTATAAAAACGTATCTGTTCACAAAAAAATGTATAGGACAACTATTCAGTTACTTTCTTAATAGGAATTACCAACTTAAAACTTTCAAAAAATCAATTACTATGACTTCCAAAGAAAATAGAAATACTCTTCTAACTAATAAAACAAAAATTAGTAATTCCAGAATTGCCATGGATTTTGATTTTAATTACAATATTTACAAGCTTTCCCATATCTTAAGAAAAGATTTCCAGTATTTAAAACTTGACTAAACAATTAGAAAGATATTCAGCAAGAACACACTCAACATTAGATGTGAGCACCACATCCTATACAAACTCCTAACATCATCTGGCATACATAATTCACCACCTCACCAAAGGAATATCACCTGAAATAAACCCTGATGCTAAGTCTGTAAACATATCATCACTGATAGCATTTTCACCTATTCCCCCCCACCATTTCCAGCACTAACACAATATTTAAGCCATTGACTGTGATTTGTGACAGTTCAAATCTTATATATTTACTTTTCTGCCACAAAAGCAAAAAAGGAAATTATTTTGCAGAAACTGAAACAGAATTCCGTCTTAGGTACAACGACAATTTCCCTGTCGCTGTACACTTCAACCAACCATTTCATAGCGTCGATAACATCAGATACGTGCTTTTAGCGTCTTCATTCAACAGCCGACAAAAAAGACGCAGATCGGAGTTCAAATTTATTTTCAAAATAAATTCAAACATTGAGGGATTAAACAGAGATTTGGGTTTACTCAGAGAGTGTAACTTCCACAATTTCACCTCTAATAAACAACATTCCTCGGAAAAGTAAGTCCCAAATCTTTGTTTATTCCTCATCTCGTTGAAAAAGAACACAGGCGTGTTTGAAAACTCCGACATTAAAATATATCACTTCATGCTTCAATTCAGTGAAAAGGTTAACATATAATAAATATCAATTTTATTGACAATATTGATATCATTTTGTTTTTTTATTCT